TAGAGAGCTTACACAAGGGCTACTCTTGCAAAAAAAAAAAAAAAAAAAAAAAAAAGACAATATTGGATGCGCTGTAGGACATATTCACACATCACAGTATAGGGACGGAGCAATAGGTGGATTGAGTTATGTGGAGGGGCGGCGGAGCGCTACCGGGAGCGCTCCGCCGCCCGACGTTTTGACGCGACGGCAGGCTCCTTGGTGATGGTGGGAAACGAAGAACGGTCGGGGCGCCATGATGACATTTTCGACGCGAGGACGAGAGTGCGGGGCGAGAGGACAAAAGGTGGATGATGAGGCGGGAGAGGGATCGTGGGGCATGGAGGAGCAGGCTACTGGTGTCCGGGCGTTGCTGAAGGCTCTCTTGTTTGCTGTTTTTGTCACGTGCTTGTGTGCTTGAGAAGAAGAACACGGGGGCAGCGTGTCTCATATCATGGTCTCGTTGGAGAGGAGGAATGTTGCGGGGGGAGTAAGGGGAAGCAGACAGGGTTTCATGGGCTAGAGGGAGAGTATTATAAGAAGGAATGGAAGGAGGAACGCGGGAGTACGGATGTTGAAGACATGTCTTCTATAGGCGGGCGACATCTGCGGCGATGACACTCCTTCATCTCTTTGGGCTACCTGCGAGGGGGGGGGCTGGCAGGCTCAGCGGTTTAGTCTCATGAGGTGGTTTGGATTGCTGTGATGGTAATCCTAGTTGCGGTCATGTTATCTTCATCGTTCGGTCCTTTGGGATGGTTGAATAGTTGTCAACCACACGCGGCCGAGTTGCTTGAGAGCCGATGAAGGAGGAGGTGAGGTTTGGATAGAGGGGGGGTGCGTTTAGGGATTGTCGAGGGTAAGCTGTGTTCTTCCTCTTCACATTTTGTAATGATGATTATGTGATAACCCCGATGAGACTCTTAACGATGTGATTCCTAGATAGTTTTATCTGGTTCAATACCTATTAGTCTTTCTAACCTTGAATTCTAGATATGTAATGAAAATATAACTAATAATTCTGATTCTGAGGTTTGAAAATCAAGATTAAATCAAGATTCATTCTGACCTATTTTGTTTGACCTACTTTGTTTGTCTATTTCTTTTGAATCTCACATCATTAGCCGTATCGATTGTCGTATGTTTGGTTGCTGAATTACTTCCAAGGCAATACTCTTAGCCTGAGATTCGTAAATCAGAGGTTGGGCACCTCTGATTTCTTAAAAGTATTTTTCAAACCTTAACTCAATCTCGTTTGATCTTCTTATTTGTGTCGATATTTAAATTCATGAGGTAGGTAATCTTGATTTCAAATTTTTGAAATTATAGTCATTTTGATGTCTTAATAACTATTCCTATGCATGGTTCTGACTTTTCACCGTATTTTTTTTGGTGTTTCCTATTCTATGTACAGGTAGTTCCAAAAGTGTTCCATATGTTGCTAGAAATTGTTCCTGTCTGAATGGAATTACCTCCTTTAGGGTTGGAGCCCCTCCCTGCGAGGGTTACACGGGGCGGGTGTGTGATCCTTGAGAGGGAGGGGCGGTGTTGAGGGTTTGTCATTTTCTGGGCCACGCTGATTTTTGGGTCGGATCAGCTATGGCGGTTGGGGAGGGAGGGCAAGGGGTGTTGATGCCAACATGGTGAGATGTTGAAGGGCTGTTTCACTTGGAGGGGGTGAGGCAGGAGGGAAGGGGGATCTTCGGCTCTACGGGGCATACTTTAGGGGGTACTGTATAAAGCTCAGGGAGCAGGAGTGGTATTTACGGGGCTGTTCTGAACAGGGGCTGGGAGGTGAGGGGGCGGTTCCCTGCGGAGGCAGTGATCAGACAGGGGGTCGTTTTTTGGGGGGGAGAGGAGTAATCTGTTTTGGTACTGTTTTGGCAATCCTTCTTTTTTTTTTTTTTTTTTTTAACAAACGTCCTAATCACTGTTTTTTTAACTTTTTTTTTTTTTTTTTAATAACTTCTCATGCGGGAAACCTACTTAACGAGATGATAAGAGCAACCTCGCTAAGTAGGCCCCTGCGACGAAGGCTCCATCTATTGATGGGGAGCTGCACCTGCTGGAAATCGGGTCCAGCGTCCTTATACAACTTTATGATGTGTTTCAGCTGAAAATCAGGTCCAACGTCCCTGTAAAGTGTTGTGGGGATATGTCACTCTACCAAGCCACAAAACCCTAGCTAGCGTCACACAGATGTTTTTTTTTTTTTTTTTTTTTTTTTTTTTTTTTTTTTTTTTTTGAGAAACAGGCCCTTGTACAAGGCCTTTATCCTGGTGGTGGTAAGAGAACCACCGGGATTGAGGCTTTGCCTGGCGGGCCGCTCCGTCTATTAGTGGGGAGCATCACCTGCTGGGAACCAGGCCCAGCGTCCCATAAATGCATCGTAACAGTACAGTCTGGAGGCTGACACCATTTGGCTGGAAACCGGGTCCAGCGTCCCATATCTGACCTTTTTCTTCCTACTTAGCCTGCAGCATCGTCAGGTACTGGCGGGAGACCCGCCGGGGGGCACCGGTGGGGCCTCCCTCCCTCCCCTAGATCCTGCTCCCTTCCTACTGTCCTCATGGCGACCAGGAATCTTGCAGAAAATTTACAATGCACATTGCAGACTAGTCACTGCATACAAAATGCATGCTGAATGCAGACTACCAGCGGCATGCAGAATGCAAGGAGTGCAAGAAGGAAATACAAGAAATGCAAGAGATGCAAGAAGTGCAAGTCACGAACCTATGAGGAACTACTCCTGCTGGAAACTGGGTCCTGCGTCCCTTGCGAGACCTACTGCGGGTTCCAACCGACTCACGCGGCTGGGAGGATTTCAGCTAGAGACAGCGGGTGAGGCGGGAAGGGGTCTGAAAAATCCGGAGCAGGCCGTAGAGGGGAGCCAGGATCAATCTTAGTCCAATCATGGAAGATCAGTTGGTAGTCTCTTGTTATTCCTGCCCTGGGGTCTTCCTGTGATTCCCTTCCTGGCTGTCTTCCAGTCCATTTCACCTCAGCCACCAATCCCTTCCTTTCGCCCCCCAGCCAATTCTTGCTAAATGTGGAAATAATTCGGTTCATGTCCCCCAGGAGTGGGCTTGGTCGAGCTTGTCCTTGGCTGTCTTCCATTGGGCCGCAATCTCATACTGGACCAGTGTCCGGATTTGGTCCAGGACTTCACCGTCCTCCACTTGCGCCCCTTTTATCTCATAACAACATTTATTCCACCATATAGTCCATAGAACACTCCTTCTTCCCAGGTTGAACATGTTTTCCTCAAATGTTTGCCCTTGGATTGGGGGATAGTAGCCCAACAAAAGAGCCCTCCAGTCCCATGGCCAAGCTGCGCCAGGAACTATGTGGCGCCATATCCTGTCCCAGCTTCTCCACAATAATACCGACGCGGGGCATTGGAGGAAGATATGCTCAATGGTCTCAGCCCGCCTCCCCCCCTGGTAGCTTGAAAGACATTTTTTGCACCAAGGCAGTGCTTTCCCTCGTTGTTCCAGGCGCATATGGTCTATTAGCCAGTCATTTGTCGGCAGGCATTTATGCTCGATTTGCCATTGTAGGGCAGAGATTTTAGCTGGTCTGTTGCTATGCTGTGCAAACCAACGTATGGGTTTCAGGAGTCTGCGGTCAATGTTAAGATGGCGATACCATCTATCCTCTACCCGGTCCCGCAGATTACATTTGGGTCTGAGCATTCGGTACACCGATTTGGATTTTAAACTCTGTAGTGTTATCGCTTTTGCTTCCCTCGTCCCCGATGGAGGGTTCATGGTCCAACGCCATTCATCAGGATCCAGGGGGAGCTCCTCAATTGGTACTCGTGGGCGAAACGCCTTCTGGTGCCCTCTATTCTCTGTGACCCTGATGCGATACACCTCTTTTTTATTCTTCCATATGAAGGGTTGCTGTTTGCTGCCTAGTTCCTCGCCCTTCGAAATGGAAAAAACCTCTATAAGTACGCGTGAGTGGTCAGCGAGGTGTATGTAGCCCACTTCTTGTGCTCGGTCGGGGAGTCCCACCCAGTCACCTTCCTTTACGCAGGGTCCTTTTCTAAGGGTGGTGTACCAATGAAGGGGGAAACTGTCAATCAACTCTTCCAATACCCTCTCGGTAAAGTGGCAATACCGTAGTGTTGCTCTTATCCTTCCACTGCTCTTCCATTCCCTTCCCTCTGCGTCCCAAAGATCCCCCACCCTACGTATACCGTGCTTCGCCCATCCCTTCCATGGGGAATCTGAGGCATTCCGCACCCTCCCCCCGTAGTCTGTTATTAAACGATTCCCAAAAAGGGGTTGCCGATATATTTCTTCCCATCGCTCTGGTGACGGCTTATCAGGAGGGGGGAGCTTCCTCCATATACGTATGAGACGGATCCATAATCTATCTGTGGGGTCCCCATTTCTTTATTTCCTGGTTTGCCTCCAGTATCTATCCTCCAACCATGTGCAGGGGTCAATTTCGGGCGGAGATTCTGGGGCCAGGTCGGCGATTTGTGTCAGGGCAAGGGGAACCCATGGGGAGGTTGGGGAGAAAATGATGTGCTGAAGCCAACGGATGGAGAGTGCTTGAAATTGTGTAGCCGGATCCACAATTCCTAATCCGCCTCTGTTCTTAGGTTGGATCACTGAGTCCCATGCTACGCGGCTAATCGCATGGGTGTTGCTGCTATCTCCCCTCCATAAAAAAACCGCTAACTTTTGTTTAAGTACTTTGAGCCCTCTGTTACTCATTGGCCATAAAATGGCCTTGTACCAGAGTGTGGCCAAGACCACATTATTAATAACGAGAGCTTGTCCAAAGATAGATGTGTGCTTATTGTTCCATTTTTCTAGTTTAACTTGTGCCGGTCCAGTCAACCAGTCGTCATTAGACGCTGGCCTGCCTTTAGCAGTGATGAGCGCCCCTAGGATTCTAAGGGGGTCCTCGGGAGGCAGCCATGTCACACAGATGTGATACGTATGAGCTGGAAAATCGGGGCCAACATCCCTATTGTGTGTTGACACGTCAAACCTAATCTAAAAAAAAACTTGAGGCATTGATTACTTCCCTAGGTAAGGGAAGGATTGAACTACAGCCCATGAAGCATTATCCTAACGAAACAACTATTCATCAATCCCCCAACAAGGAGGTCAAAGCAAAACATGAAACCCTAAACTACCCGCCTCCCCTTGGGGGCATCTATCTTATGTTAAGCAATCAAATTATTAGATCCGAGGGGGAAACCCTAACCAGTCATATTTTCGTTATGATGCCGAGCAGAGGCAGATCGCCCTTCTCAATTGAAGTTGCGGGTCGAACAATTTCAATCTCCTTCGACTATCCTACCGCCGCCTTGAACCGGACAACAATAAGCAATTCCATATCGAGATTGAAGGGGGGGAGGACATAACCCCACTTTGTTTCAGTCCCAATCCCCTTCCCACTGTCCACGTCAGAACCCGACATCTCACTAGTGAAAATGAGTGCACGGTCACTGCTGCCAGTCCCACTGTTGATGTCTTTGTTGTTGTTGTTGTTGTTATTGTCCTTATTGACGCATTTACCGTCACCCACAACCGCGCTGTCTTCATTAAAGCTATTGATGATGACGTTGTTGTTGATGTCATCATTGTAGTTGTTGTTGTCAATGTTGTCGTTGTCGTTGTGGCCGTTGTTGTCGACGTTGTTGTTGTTGTTGTTGTTGTTGTTGTTGTTGTTGTCATTGTTGTTGTTGTTATTGTTGTTGTTGATGCTGAAGCCGGGGTTTTCATAATCTTCGTTCGCTCCATCCTCCTGGCAGACCTCATCCTCCATATCGTTATCGCCCTCCAACCGCTCCTCAAGCATACAACACAGGTTGCGACCCTCAGTGAAGAGGACATAGCAAGCGGACATCATGCCATCAACCTTCCTCCAATCGATACAAGCTTCAAGTTGGGGATCCGGCCTCTCCTCCAGCATCCAGATAATATTTAGCATGTCTTTGGTCATATCTTTCAACCATTCAGCCAGATAAATCGCTCCCCCTTCGACCTCTGGCTCCTCGTTTGACCGCGAAGACAACTCCCCCACCATCATCTGTAACCGCCTGCACCCCTTCTCCAAGGTTCTTAGCCATTCGTTAGCTCCCCGTTGTAGCTCCCCTACCAACTCCATTTCGGGAATGCACCGTCATATCCAAAAGATATGCACCTCACATTGACGTACCATCTCCTGATGTACCTGGTGGGAGATCCACCATCACCTAGGCGGGACGACCAGGCGGACACCAGGATGACCAAGGGTAGCGATGGCGAATCATCACTACCACCCTAGTCTACGGAGTATGGCTAGGCCTCGCCAACCGGTTCGTAGAGCAGGTTAGCGCTAAGCGCCCATGTGACGAACTATTTTCTGTAATCACGCGACTTTCTGCGCGGAGCTGCTTTGGGGGAACGAGATGGGGTACGTGGGGATGGGTCGGCTGGGCAAGTTGCATGAATGCCCTCGCTTCTTTTTCGATTTCCTTTTTCGGTTTTGTTGGGCCAGTATCGGAAAAAGTCTCTCGTAGGCAGTTAGGAGACCGCGCCTTAGCGAGCGCGAGAAATAATTGTTGCCATAGCTTCCTCCTTATTCTGCTGGGGCTAAGGGGAACACGAATTTTGGCGCGACGAACGCGCGGGAATGTCGTCTTCTTTTTCAAATTTTTCTTTCAACTGATGTCGAGCCCCTGTGGGCTCTCGGACTTGTTAATTTCCTTTTTGCTTTTCGGAACTCTTGCTTCGTCGGAATTTTCTCTGCAATTTGGATTTAGATAGAAATTTAGGAACCTTGAAATTTTACTGCGCTACGCTTCTTGATTAGCACGCACCTTGCCACGGAGGGAGCAGAGTTCTGACTAAATGGCACCCTTAATCTTGCGTGTAACTGTATCTTTTGGCGGGCGTAACTGTAACTGTATCTCTCTCGTCTTGACTCTCTTATCTCTCTTCCCGCCTTCTTCCTTCCTGCTTTGCATGCATCTTCCCTCGTTCTAATAGGCTGAAGCGTTACATGCCCAGATCGGTGCGTGGAGAGTGGCTACGACCCCCACGCCGCGGCCTGGCCATGCAGAACGTAGGCACTTCCCTTCTAAGCCTTCTCTCCTCCTTCCTTCTGTCTTGGGTATGATTCCGGGTTTCTTGTGCGAGCATGCATGCTATAAATTTCGCAAGCGCGACTAATTCGCTCTCTCTGGATTTGGAAGGTTAGCGCGGTCAGTGAGGATCGGCTAACGAGCAAGTTCGCAGGTGAGTAGAAGTGAGTCGGTCGATCCGACGGCTGGTGCCAAGTAAGCGGGGCTGACGTGCGGGCCACAACGGACTGTGGCGCACGAGCGAACCTGGCGTGCGTGCTTGGACTAAGCGGGGTGACGACTCGGTGTTGGTGCGAGACGACGGACTGTCCGCATCGGAGGTGACGTGGTGCAGGGGGGGAGAGAGAGAGAGAGAGAGAGAGAGAGAGAGAGAGAGAGAGAGAGAGAGAGAGAG